AGATCGCTTGGGGTCACGTGATATGAACCGGCGAATCAGGATGTTGAACCATGAAAGCATAGTAAATTCTTAAATTAATGTCTTTTTACAAATTTATTGTTTTTATTTATTGGCTTTTTATAAAATTTTAAGCGATATTAAAATGTTTATGCCTTCAAAAAAAAAAAAAAAAGAATTCTTAGAACTAGTATTTTTTTAAATTTTTTAATGTGTATACTGTATGTTGTCGCCAATAAAGTCTGCTTGGCGAGATTTGCGCCGGCCAAACGGAAAAGTACCGAGATCCCAATATTTGACCTTCCCTGTTACAGGTTAAAAGTCTGAAAAAATTCAGGCTTTCACACTTATATAGTACACTTGCTTTTTTATAAATCCAACTTTCATATTAAACAAAATTTATTTTAAAAGTCCTGAAAAATTCAGGCTTATGCATTCATATAGTACATATACAATTGCAAAAAAATAAAAAAATCTGAAGCAGGCTAAATACTAACTAAGTTCAAGACAAAATTAGAAATAAATTCTAATTACAGAATTAATAAATCAATTTAACTTCAAAATTGAAATATAAATTATTCAGTCGATGTATTTATATCCTAATACTAGGGCTGGCTCATTTATGTAAAGGAAAGTATCAACATTTTTGTGAATGAAAATTAAAAGTAGTAAATTTTGGAGCAAATCTTTAAATAAGGGAAAAAATATTAAAATGAAAACAATGAAACTATTGAAAAAATCAAAGTTAACCTTCCGAAAACTTGCATGTCAGCAGTATGGTTCAGCTGCCAAAAATATAAAAACTAATACTTAAGGTTGCCAGAATTTTAAATTAACCTTGAAAAAGGTGAAAAAATTATTTTATCGGTGATCATTTAGGTAAATGCAAATTTGAAAATTAATTATAACCCAATTAAGTAAAAAAGAATAAAACACTTTATCGTTCTGTCCGTATTGTTTGCTATTTTTAGTTTTGAATAAAGTTCTATATCTTCTTATTATTTCCTGCATCCATTGTTGCCTGAACTGTAGTTTTATCACACTGCTTGTGAAAAATTTTCTTAGTGCAATTTTTACATAGTGTTTTTTTCAATTGCCTTCTCTGTAGATTATAAATCAGGTAAACACAGTAATGCTTTGCTTGAGCTCTACATTTGTACGATTAGCTTCATTTCCTAATGTTATTTTGTTGCAAATTGCTATGAGTTTATTTTAGCTTTACAGCTTAAGTAAGTTAATTCATAATGGTTTGATTTGGGTGTATAAGTAGTATGGAAGAAGAAGATAGAAATGAAGCAAAAATAGTGCTTAGCTTCACTAAGACTTAAAATAAAAAGGCATTTTTCTATATGTACAGAGAAAACAATATGTATCATAAAAGCATTTCATGTACATGATTAGGAAATATTCTCAAATAGTCATATTTCCAGCTGTGTGTCAAAATTCATCTAAGACAATGTATATCTTTTTTTGTTGAAAAGTAATTTTTAATCTATTATTATTTAAATGGAAAATAATAAATATTATTTATAATGTGTTAACTTAGTTCCAATATATAATAATTTCTCAGCTTGGCTTTCTGCATTTTTAAGTTTTCCCTCCATTCCATGGAAAACAATAGACGGGTTTCACTGTACTTATACTGTATGAAAAGGAACTTGGTTAACTATTAAAAAAAAAGTGATTCAAATTACAGTGGCATCAATTTTTTAGACCTTTATAAATTTGAAGATAAAGAGTGAGATTTCAGAAAATACATTCCTGAAATATACCAACTCAAAACTACCATTTCAGTATGAATCAGATCGTTTTTCAGTCAATATAAAATGAAATATTTTACTGTCCATGAAAAAGGTTACAGTGTATATTTTTGCTTTTGTAAATAATCACAATATAATTAATATGAGAGAGGAGTTGAGATGCCTAAGCATTCTGAAACTTCCATTATATTTAATCACTATGCAGTCAACTGCTGAAATTATTATTTTTTCTTTTTTATAGGAATCATTTTAATTTCCCATAAAACCAATTTCCTGTTTAATAGTATTTATAATAATAATGTGCATTCTTATCATTTATATTATGATCTATTTTAATAGCATAAAACTATCACTGAATTCCTGTTTTTGTTTCACTAGCATATGCATTTCATGCATATCTCGCATATCTTAGAATAACACAAATGAAAGATACACCCCCCTCTTTATCTATGCACTTTATCATAGAAAATTGCATCTAGAATTATTTGTGATACTTAAATTTAATCTGTATTTAAAATTGTAAAAATGTATTTAAAAACCCAAAAAATAAAATGCTAGAAAATATTTGGCAACATCAACCACATATTCTATGAAACATCTTGGTATCAGTCTGTCTGAGACATAATTGATTTCTTAAGTTGCAAGCACATTTAATTTTAGAATCAGTTTAGTGAGACAGATTGCTTGTTGAGCATCTCATCACAGTCTGCAAATTAATGTGTCAAAGAGTATCTATATATACTCTTGTTGATCTTAAGCAAGAAAAACTTTGTTCACAAATATATGCAGACCGAAATATAGAGCACATTTTCCCAGCAAATTTCTTCATACATGGAAATTTTTCAGCAGACGAAGATTTGTAAAAGTCAACTAATGACACAGCATTAAGCATTTTTCCCAGTGTGATTTGACTGCAATAAGTTCAAGCTCCAGCCCCTCATGTGCTGTGTCAATATTAGCAGAGATAGGGTAACAGAGCAAATCAAATTCAGGCTTAATTTTTCTTAAAGTTCTGAAATCTTGTAACGTCGTCCTCAAACTCTGCAGATGATCCCTAATCTTAGCAGAAACAGTTTTCCTAATAAAGAGAAATGACAAAAATTGCTTTCACCTGCTTTCCTCGCAAAAAGACCTAGTTTTGCTTTGAATGATTTACATTTCATGTGCAAACAAGCAATTTCCTGCACACATTTAGTTCGTTCAGTTTCTCAAACACAGCAACTGCAAACATAGTTTCATATCTGCAGTTTTCACATTCTATTTTTATAACAAAACCAAGAGATATGTCCTTTGTTTCCAGAAATAAGAAGATTTCACTCTGCAAAATGCTCACTTTTTTATCACTTTACCCATGCTTAACCACTTCACATTGTTGTGGTAAATTATGTCTTAATACTCTGCCTCCACATCCTCAAGCAAAGATTTGAACTGTCGATGGTATATTGCCCTTGCAGTGATTATGTTCACCACACTAACAATAGGCTCTATCATATGTTTAAAGTCCAAGGAAGCTTTACACAGGTTCTCCCGATGCAGAATGCAATGAAAAGACATGATAATCACAGTATCTGGGTCTTGTAATTGTAACTTGTTTTTTAAAAGCTTAAACATACTTACATTTTTTCTACTGAAATGCTTCCTACTAATGCTTGCCATTTTGTACCAGGACAAGCCATTTTTCTCAACATAATTCACACCCGACTCAAGCAAGTCCTGACCAGTGGTTCTATCTTTTACTAATTCTAGGCTAAGCAATTCCTCTCTGATGATGAAATTTTCTTTAATTCCATGGATAAAGACGAGAACTTATACAGTATCTTAATTATCTGTATTCTCATCCAATGCCAGAAAAAAAAAAAAAAAAAAAAAACAAGCAAAATGCTTGCTTGCAGTCTTCAGCCATTTTGCAAGTTTGTCACCAATTGAGTCAATGAATCACGGTACCATCCTTCTTGACAATTGAGTGCTTTCAAATTTGCTTCTCACATCAGGACATAATATGCTTGCATACTCTAACATACACTGCTTAATAAACTTACCAAATCTCACTACTTGTTGCCCACCACAAAAGCTTGTTGCATTTAGCAAGGTTGTAGGCTACTCTGAAACTTACTTCTCTCGTGCTATTTCAAAGTGTTGATTGTTTTGTAAATAATGTTTATTGCTTCTTTAGCCTTTTCATATACTCCACAGGTTTATTTTGCATTCTTCTTTCAAAAGTTTATAGCCAAAGTCGTCGTTTGTTTTGTAGTGTCATTTTAGATTGTACTCCTTAAACATGGCAATAGTTTCATTCCCTGCATTACCAAAGAAATATTTGTCTACTCTTCATTAAATATAGGACATTCATCACCGAATTGACATTTTTTTCAGAGGGTTCATAGTTTTACTAAAGTTGGAAATTTATATATTTACTGTTGCAAAGACAAAATTGAAAATTAACCAGAAAAGCACTGTGCATGCATATTGACTTGGCTGTCATAGTGGATAATATGAGACGAATTTTCAGTTGTGCACTTCTGTGTTGACAGGCCGCATGTGGTCTGCTATTTGCGCACCCCTGTCCTATACTGAACTTTGTAATCATTTATATGCTCCTGTGCTGCAGTAACAAATACCTTTGAATGATAATTCCCTCACTTTTTGTGAAGTGTATCCTATTTAAAGAACAAATTTTTGAAACAATACAATGACACAATGGAGAAGGAAGGTGTAATTCTATTTACATTTTAAAAATTATGAGCAGGGTTTCAAGAGTACTGTATATACTTTGACTTTACAAATCTCCCACTTGCTTAATTTTTTAGAACTGATGTTTTTTTAAAAAAAAAAAAGAGCTGACATTCAAAAATTTCTGGTTAGTTGAATGCTGACATTCGAGCTTTTGCTTTATATGTATTTTCTAGCAGAATGCTTACATTAATATAATTAAAAATTTTTGTTTATTATACATGGTTTATTTCAAAATTTTTGTATTAATAAAAATCATATAAATATATATGTATCAATTTCATGTTATTATTATTTTTTTTTAGGTTTAGATGCAGAGAAAAACTCCTAAGAAAATAAAAAGTCTTAATGTGCTGCTTCAAGTTAAATAAATGTAAAATTTTTGTTGTTTTGTATATATATTATATATATATATATATATATATTATATATACATATATTTACTCATAAATAATTTTGTGAAATGTAAGACTAATAAAATAAATTATTTCATTTAGAAAACAGAAAATTATATTTTTTCTCTTAAAAAAAGCTTTATTTTCATACTAACAAAACTGCATTAATGCAACCATCATTTTCAGGATTATTTGTAACTTGGGCATATTTTCCCCAAACTACTTTACCACCTTGAGTTACAAGACCAAGTTCACTGATATTTACTTCAATCACGGTACCTTTTGTTATGACACCAAGATTTGTAAAAAGTGCAGAATTCGGATTTTTCTTAACTCCAATAATTGGTAAACAAAATGTAGCTTTCAACTCAGGATGAGTGACATGTGCCTTATTGAATCTCAATCCCATAGGACGAATAAATCTTTCAAATTTGGGTGGTTTACGAGTGAAGCCTTCTCCAACATAGCATACTTTAGTAACCATTCGTTTCCATGCTTTTTTCTTCCGCTTACCAGTTTTAATAACTTTAAAGGTTTCTGCCTCACTAACTCCTCTGACTTTAGGTAATGGCACAGACCATTTTCCTGCTTTTTCTTTTCTTTTCTGTTTGATTGTATTTGACAGAATTTTAGCCCGCAGCTGACCTTCCCGATCCAATAGATAAGCTGGAACAGCTCCTTCTGGTACTTTTTCTGGATCACGCTTTTTGGTACTCTTTTCCTCATGCATTCTAAGAGTCTTCTTCATTTGCACTTTCTCCGAAAATCGTTGCTTATTGTATATTTTAGCTTTTAAGCCACGTAATTTTTTCGCCTTCTGTGCCAATTCATGTGGAAGACGGCCTTCCTTCTTCCGTTTCTTTTCATGGTAATCAAAGCGATAACCGTACCTTTTCCGATGTAATTCAATGTGTTCGTTCTGAGGCATTTTTTGTTAACTGAAAGGAAAAAAAAAATAGCATAAAATTACACTAAGATCAGAATTATATGTGACAAAATATCTTTCATAATTGCTTTCACAGTTTTACTGAAATTTATATAAAATATAATGGTGCTTTCTGATTACCCAAATGCAACCATTGAAAAGTACTCAGCAATGCAGTATGTCACAACCCTAGGAATGAACATAGCATACATTTGTTTAGAAATTTTTCTGATTACTGTTTCTTTTTGCAATGAGGATATTTGTTTTTCTAATGGAGAATCATAATGAGAGTGTTGAGTCTGCTAGATGATGGGAAAAAAATGTAGCATTTCTGCAGATGCATGACTTTCACACAACAATATAAAACATGAAAATCTGCAGTTACACTTTTCAACTTTTTCACATGAATACAAGGTAAAATCTGTTTCATTCCTCCACCAGGCCAAATAGAATGCTACAGCACTAACAATAACCTACTTAAGTGAAATGATAACTTTTCTTTTGGAATCTTCGTGCAGTTTTACCATGGTAAGCAATCTCTCCTTAGGAGACGATTGCAATGATATGGAATCTGGACGATTCTAGATCTCGGGCATAGTACTGCATTACATTACATGCTGCCTTAATAATAAAACACATGATTATAATATTACACATGCAATATTTTATTAAGACTTCGCAGGAAAAATAGGCTATATACATAGCCAAAAATATAACATTTTACATAGTTCAGAACTATAACAATTTAGGTTTTAAATTTTCAATGGTTAAAAAGTTAATCAGCATATCAAGCCATTTCACTAATTTAAAATCAATTTAATCATATTTAAAAATTAAATTTATAAGACTAAATATTATAAGAATTGCACAAAACTGAACTGCTATTGTTAAACATCCGTTTATGTTTTTTCTAAACATATTAATGAGAAAATGATATCCTGAATATTGAAATATTTTATATTAGATTTATGACAGCATCAAGCAAAATATTAAATGAATATTCAGGCTGATTCATAAAACACATGACTGAATTTAGAAGACCATGTTCTTTTATAATTATCATAAATTTATACTAAACGTTGATGCTAAACAAACAGAATGAGTGTGCAATTATTGCAAAGCCTCGAGGACTATCTGCCTAAAGGGAGATATGCCTTCATGGAGGACTTTCTAAGGGAAACTGGCTTGTATACACGTTACACATGGGGAAAACCACAAAAACGTCCATGCAGCCAGCCCATTTGTTGGATCTGAACTACTAGTGTTAAGCGACTTTACCACTCGGCCGCTGGTGGGCCCAAAAGAGAATGAAAGTGCATCCAAATAACAGAACTACTTTTAGTCACTTCCAAAGAAAGATCGGCATGTCATTTAACAACTTCCTAAAGCATTGAACCATGCACTAATGTAATGAGGAAAGAACTAGGTAGAAAGGCAAAATTTATGCCTGATACCCAATTTAATGCAATTCTCTGATTGTTTCTTTTAATCACATGGGGAAAACCACGAAAATGCCCATGCAGCCAGCCCGTTGCATTAAATTGGGTATATAAAAACAGATCAATATGTACAAGAAACAACAGTTTTGTTCACCCCAAATACACAGTATCTGGTTTTGTTCACAAAACATCACAGAATGCAAAATTTCTCAATGCACACATTAACCCTTCGAGTGTTATGGGTTTGGCTCTGAAATTCCAAAGTTCTCTAAAATGTAATAAATAAGTGCTATTTTCCTGATTATAATTCTAAAGTGACCCTCTCACTTTGTACATTGACTACTTTTCTTTCAATATACATGGCCCACAATGCGCCGAGCGGTAAAGACGCAGAACACTGGTAATTTGGTCCGAGGTTTGAATACCGCGAACGGGCTGGCGGCATGGGCGTTTTTGTGGTTTTCCTCATGTGTAACGTGTATACGTCCATAACCTCTAGAGAGTTGAGCATTACACATATCATATTCATAATATATCAAATACTTATTATTTTAATAAAGCCTTGTATGTCATTAGGGTTTAGTTAGATTTCATGCCAATATCTCATGCCTAAGTGGCACTCCATTAACAGAAAAGAAGCAAATGTTATAATTATATTTCTTTTGACGGTATTAGACTGTCAACATTAAGCTCAGAAATAAAGTTTTAAATTTAATCATATTTAAAAATTTAATATGAAAAATATGTATTTCCTATATAATTTAAAATATTATTTAACATTAGCATTCTTATTTAACTCTCATTTGACACAGTTTTTACCCTTAATAATTGTTTTAAAAAACTTAAAAACACAGATATTTCTAATTTAATATTTAATTTCACAGCTTTATGCTTACTAATTAAATATATAAAAATCCTGTATTCTCATAGTACAACAGGTTTCATAGTCATGTATTCTCTAAAACGAAATTTCAAAAATATATTACAAAACATTTATCGGATAATATATAATGAACTTATTTAACTTTAACCATACATTTATTTGGTACTCTTCTGTTATTGGGACAAGATTAAGAAATGTATACATAAGTATATACATATACAGTCAAAAGTCGTTAATCCAGACTCGTCGGGACTTCGGCAATTCCGGATTATAGATCATCAGTTTAAATCAGGTAAGATGGCATGCAGAAATTATAAAATTAAAAATATGAAAATGTAATTTATGAAAAAGAACAATTATGATCTAAAGGGTATCAAAATTTACAAAAAAAAAAAAAAAAAAAAAAAAAAAAGCTTAATATTTATTTGTTTACTTTATTAAAATTATGAAACCGTAATTTATGAAAAAGAACAATTATGATCTAAAGGGCATCAAAATTTACAAAAAAAAAAAAAAAAAAAAAAAAAAAAAAAAAAAGCTTAATATTTATTTGTTTACTTTATTAAACATTTCTTTCAATGTAAGTTGTTTAAGTTGCTTCATTTTATGTGATAATACTTTCTCTTTAATTCTATAAACAGACATAATTTCTTCTTCAGTTACAAAGATCCGCTGTTAAAGTCCTATAATTGCTGTGTCGAGAATACCGACTAATTTGTCAATCGAAATTTTTTCCTTTTCAATAACCTCTGTATCACTTTCTTGTTTTATCGGAAGCGAATTATAATGACGAGGAATTTGATTTAAATCATATCAAAGACGGAGTACATCGAGATGAAATACTACATTTAGTAAGGAATTATAAGCGAAATAAAATAAAAACATCTGCCCTGAAGATAAGGATAGTGCTGACAGATTAACTTCCAATTCATTGCACGCCGCGGCGTTTCGGCGTTCCCCCCCCCCCGGCCACAGAGCAGCATGAAATTGATAAACAGATTTCGGAATGGTTTGAGAAACGAAGGATATGCCTTTATCCACTTTTTGTTTAATGGACTTCTAAACATACTTTCTCTTTGTAGATCCTTTACATAATAGTAAATACATATCGGAAATTTTATTTGACATAATCGAAAGTTCAAGCTTACTTTTATAAAATTGCTCTAACAGTCTGCAAAAAATAATAAGCCGGATCCAATTCGAAGATTCAGGAACAACGCAATCTGCAACATTAACTGAATTAGATAATTTTAGCTTAGCTTATACCGTCCATTATACATTAACGCGCAAGCATAAACGTATTACGCACATGCATATTCGCAGCCGTAAAAGTCTTACGCGCATGCGTCAACAAGATGCATGCACAGAAAGTTTGTAGCTTTGAGGTCCGGATTATAGATCATTCTGGATTATGGGTATCCGAATTAACGACTTTCAACTGTATACATAAAGTAAGAAATTTAAAACCAATTTTTCACAAAGACAAAAAATTGAAATTCATAAGTAATAAATTTCATAAAATCCTATAAATGTAAAAAAGGATTTAATTAATTAATGAGTTTATATTTCATTTCAGTTTGGATTGAGTCTTTTCATTTAAGTTTTATAATTTCACTTACGTTTTCAATTCTTTGGATAAAGTTCTATTTATTTAAAGGTAAAATTTGCATTTAAATTTTTCACTAAACTATTTTATTATTTCACTTACATTTTCAATTCTTTGGATAGGGTTCTCTTTCTTTAACGGTAAAATGTTGATTAGAATTTACTTTGTTGTTTCCTTCCTTTGGGGAGGATCAAGAATATTCGGGTGAACTATTATAATTAAAATACAGTGTAATTCTGGTTACAGAAAAGCAAGGATTTTTTATGGAAGAGAGACTTCAATTGATTTCAATGTTCTTCCTCCTGATGAAGTGGCATTGAAGTTGATTGAATTCCTCTTCCTTTTACATTCTTTGTTCTTTTAAATTTATTGATTTTTTTTCCTGATTAGGGTATTGCTTGTTTGAAGTATTTTAGTTTTAACATTTATTAAATTTTTTACATTTATTGGATTTTACAAAATTTATCACTTATGAATTTCAATTTTTGGTCTTTGTGAAAAATTGGTTCTAAATTTCTTACTTTATATCCTTACTGATTTTTCAGCAGCTTAATGTGCAAAAATATTAGGCATGATTATATTATGCATTTTTAAAAAACTGTTTCATAATTTTATATATATATATATATATATGCATGTGTGTGTACACACACATATACCTACTTATGTACATATATACATGCACATATGAACACATATATCCATTCATACATTTCTGGGGAATACTCAGAAAACCAGCACTTGGAGAGAACTTGGGCCATAGGCGCTAAACAGTGGGAAGAGTGTTTAGGTTGCTAGCCCAGATGTTAAAGTAAGATAGGGAAAAGTAAAGGGATATTTTCTTTCTATATGGTTGATACACTGCGTTGAGTGTCATGACTTTGCAGACAAATTTTTGTGCTGATGATCACATGACTTTGTCAGTAGACATTTTTCTTTCTATATGGTTGATACATTGCGTTGAGTGTCGTGACTTTGCAGATAAATTTTTGTGCTGATGATCACATGACTTTGTCAGTAGACATTTTGAATTCGCTGTTTAACAATTTTCTAAATAAATTAATCACACTTGTAATTAGAATAAG